ATAAATATCTGTAGCATAGTTATGCTTAAGCATAATATATTCTTTATTTTCCTCTAAAACACTCCTACTGTTGATGTACAAACAGGCCAGGAATTGGTGTTTTGCTGGTGCCACCATTCCACAAATGCTCAAAAGAATTGGAAAAAACAAAGCTAAATGAAATTATAGGAAAAACAGGAAAAATGGACAACAAGATGTTTACTGAAAACAAAAATGTATTATTTTTGAGGTTGAGGTTTGCTTTTCTTGATGTATTGCATGGTTTGCTTTGGTCAGAGACACTCCATGAGATGACTTGCTCATCTTTAGTTATCTGACAAAAAGCATCTTTTTCATTTATTCAGTGGTGAGCAGACAGGAGACTGAAATTCCCTCTCATGACATTTTTTGTGGAATGGGATTGAGTGCCCTCTGGAGATGGATTTTTTACTCAATACTGATGAGTTTTTCTCAATAGTGGCTCCAAGGACAGCCTAGAAGTCTTGCTTACCCACTTGGTTTAACTTTTGGCCATCAAAGTGAGAAAAATCAGCCCTCTCTTTTCACATTTCACCAGGAAAAACTCAAGGTTAGATGGGGAAAAATACTGATAATGCTGAAGAGATGCCTTCAAGCAATACCAAGGATTTGTCCCCTCATTTATAGAGTAAGTATTTCAGAATAAGAGTCAGATTGAACCTTTAAAAGAAAATGAACTATATCATACTATCAATCCTAGGAAGAGTGCATTGTCTAGTTCAGTATTTCCCTGGTGGAGATGAAGATGAAATTCATATTTTGGTACCAATTGCATGCCTGATAGGTGGGGGTCAAAAAGTGAGGTGAATTTTTGTGTCAGCTGCTTGAATTAAATAGCTATTTAATTCTGAAGAAAGGTTTGGGCAGGCAGGCTATCATTACTATTTTAGATGAGATTTCTTCCAAGTATTTTGAATGATAAAAATGGAGTGATATTTTGCAGTATCCTTATCACTGTGTGCAGTGAGGGGTTGCCATCAAGATGATGGCTCAGGTTTTAGCTTTTATATGTTTCAGATTCTGTGCTGCTTTAGTGTGTGGGTCTGGGTTTCATACGAGGGGATGGTGAGCTCTCCTCACAGAGCAGAGAGACAAAACAATTCCTGCTCTAGCTGGGGACCAAGGACAGCCAATCCAGATCTCAGGCCCAAGAGCACAAACAATGGCAGAATGAAGAGAGGAAAACAAGAAGGATGGGACTTCATAAACTAAAGCTGTAACTGGACAATTGACTCCAATATGCAAATGGACCAGAACTTATATGAATGTGAGACCCCATGACCAGCTGTCCATTTTGTGCCCATTTTGGTTCATCTTGGGTGTAGCCCTGGCTGGGCTCTTGTGCTGCCCAAGGTGGATCCACTGAGGCCTCCAAATAAATCCCTACTGTATTCTTTAACTCCATCTAGTCTCTGTTCTAGGTCAGAATTCAGAAGGAACCAAAGAGAGCACACAGTTAAAGAGATAAGATACCTGTTATCTGTCCTCCATGTGTTTTACACCAGTGAAAGTAAGAAACAAGGGGACTCATTTTTGTTAGGAATCCAAGAGCCATCTGCAGGCAGCCCCTGTTACCCTTAGGATCCCATTGCAGCATAAACGTGCTGGGAACTGTGTCTAACATGAGATGGGTGCTCAGCAAGTGCTGATGATGGTTCATGCTGCTGCAGTTTGAGTACTCCAGATCTGTCTTGTCACAGTGAGGAATTGCTGTTGGCTCTAGGGCAGAAGGCAGATAGGAAAATCAAAGTTTGAGATGCTGTTTCCAACCAGTAGCTCTTCCAAATGTGTTTGCAATTTACATTTTCTCTTTCACAAACAATGGGAGTACAGAGAATATTTTGGCAAATATAATCTTTTAGAAGGAAGGTCAAGTGATTATGAATGCACTTATAATTTTTCTCTTTTACTGCACAGCAGGGAAACCATCAGCAATTCTGAGTGCAAGTAAATATTGAAATGCTGCAATTTGCTTTTGAAGAACCAGTCAAATATTTACTGTTGTATATAGCGCCCGATTTTCCATTACTTGCCTCATTTATTGAATGCTTCAATTATACATTCAGGAAGGTGATTTTGTGTTACAGTAAGCAGTTTAAACCTTGCACTGCTGGAAATTGTAGTTGAAGTTTGAAAGAATTTAAAACAGGATCAAATAAGCTGGTGTGCTGCTCTGAGCCACTAATGCTGATGTTTTGCTAATGAAGCTGGGTTGATTTACAATCATTCTGTTTCCTTACAAGGGTGTGGACACACCACCACTTTTTCTTCTTGATGAGTCCACTTTGCTATGAACATCAAGTGGCATTGATGATTGTAATGGTTTAATTACAATTAACTACTTTTGATCTTCTTCAGCACATTCCTGAATAAACACCTGGGCAAAGTCATTCCTCCTTTTACATGCAAGTGCCTCAGGCAAAGGTTTTAAGGGAGACGTAGAGGGCCTTTGTACTTCTGGGCCTTTATATCCAGATGCAGGTATTTAAATGAAGTTAGGAACAATTGTATAATATAAAAATTTTATAAAAATGTTATGAGCTCTGCCAAGGAAATGGGAGCTCAAAATGAGGTAAGGATAAACAGTTGTTAGCTGTTGTACAGGCCATAATTCTTTTACATATAGCTGGGTAAGGTTCTTATATTTGATCCCCTGATATGTTTGATGCTGAGAGAGGAAAGTTATTTTTATCTAGTGGATAAAAATTTGGTAGTCTATTTGATAGCTGGGAAGAGCTTGGACCTTCCTGCTACTGAAGCTTCAGTGCTGTGCTGATATGCCCAACAGGAGAATGTTGTTTTGTCGGCATCTGTCTGTAGTCACTCAGAGGAGGTGATCACACTCCAAAAGTCATTCATTCCTCTGAAAACCTGAATTGCTTTCTGCCAGTGATCTCTTGGTTGAGTATGATTAATCTCAACCTCAACACTGTAGGATTTGCACAGAATGATAATCTTCTCCCTAAACGTAACATGAGAATCCCTGGAAATGCATAGTATTTCCCAGAGCTTGATGAAGATGCTAGCAGAATTTGCAAAGTAGCTTTAATTTGAGACTTTATTTTGCAGTTCATCTAGTGAAGACTCTATTCTCTGAAGCATTTTCAGGAAGCCATTATGGATCTTGCCGTTGAGACAGTGTACATTCCTTGAAGAAGCTATTGAAGGAATTGGCTGCTTAGTCTCAGAATGTAATAAAGGCATTGCTTCTTTTATTTAGACATCTATGAATGTAAGCTGATGAACAGGTCACTGAAAGGGAAGGAATCCCCTAATTTCTCTAATAGGACTCAGCTTGTGGAGAGGTAGTACCAGAATGAGAGTAATGCAGAAATAAAATTTCACAATTGAAGCAGATAATAATGTGGAAATAGATTTCCTCCTTCTTGAGGAGGAAAATAAAGTTACACGGAGTTTGGTCCGTTATTAAAAGAGTGAGAGGAATATTCAGTGCAGATATCCCTTTTCTGTGCTTACAGTGTATTTCTTAAGGTGTTCTAAATGTTTAACAAAGTTCACACTGCAGTAAAGCTTAAACCCCAAGCCCCAAGCATTGTGCCTTCCTAACAACATTCCCTGTTGACCCTGCAGATTTCTTGGCAGGAAGCTAATGGAGAACTAAAGCTGCTTTTGGAAGAGCACTGACTGCCCTCACTTGCCCTCCTTTCCTGGAAAACTGTGCCAGTGGGGCTGAGGAACGAGGGAGAGCAGTGGGAGAGTGAAATGCCTCTGTGCCAACTGCTTTGTGCCACCAGGGCAGAGTTCCTGTTCATAATTCAGGCCCTGCTAAGGGGGCTGCTGGAGCATAAACCCTTCTGTAGCTTTCACAGAGCCTGGTCACAATGATTTTGCATAGAACTGATTTATTTCTCTGATGTTTTTCAAAAGGCAGTGTTCAAGTAAACATACTCATTCTGTGGAAACAAGGAGAACAGCCAGGGAGAGAGAGTTTTCTGTAAATATGTATGAAGATGGTGCTGCTCCATAATAATGCCAGATAACTGATAATTTTGCACATAATCAGTGCTGTCACTGAGCTAAACAAAGCCCTTCAGAAATTAGATGAGCAACTGCTTCATCATATCAGGAAATATTGCTGAAGTATGAGGGGCAAAGGAGGCTGTGATTTGAAAGAGAATGTTCTATTAGGCCACGGATATTGATGCATTCGAAACCAAACCATCCAGATGGAGCTGTGTCACTCACAACTGTGAGTGTGTTAAAAACCTTGGTTTTGAAAGCAAACTGCTCTGTTTAAATTAACAGCCTTTCCTTAAATATACTTGTTGAGAAGGAGTGCTTGAGATTGCTTAAGGAATGACTGGCAAGGGTCTCAGGGATTTAATATTAAGTGACAGCAAGAAAAGGCTTGTTGGAAGTATTCACTCTGCTACTTACTACAAGGTTAAGGCACACAGAGGGAAAGAAGAAAGAAATAAAGTCCAGTCAGTCAATCCAAGCAGCAATAAACAGAAAACTATCTCTGTGTGTTTGGGTGCATGCGACAAAGGGAGAGAAAGGGCAAGGATAAAAAGGAATATGGCCTGACAGCAGGCTTAACAGCACTCACCAGTACTTCAGCTGTAACTTAACAATTTAATAAAGGAACAACACTTAACATTTAGTTCAGCTTCTGACTCAAATTAAACCTACTTACAGGCCTAACTTCCTTGGATGCCTAAAGAACTCAAACATTTGAGAGAGCAGCATTTATCCCATGTTTGCCACAGCAAATGCACATGTGTGTGCACACAAAGAGTCACTGCAAGGTACCTGGGATCCACCACCACAATAATATACATATATAAAACAATATATATAAAAATATATATGCTTTACAAACCTTTGGAATTCATAGTGTTTTAAAGTGCTTTAAGTGTCTTTGTGAAGTTATGTTAATAGAAAATAAATCTCCTAGATTTCAGAACTAAAAATATCTCATGTGGTAGTCACCTCTAGGATTTTTTTGCATTTTTCTTTAGGAGGTTACTGGCCTGTGTATGTCCATGTGCTTCCAAGGCTTTAGCATCTCAGAACATAGATTGGAAAGGACCTCAAAGCAAGTCTGTCTAAAGCAGGTTCCCCCCTTCCTTAGTGAGAGCTGGATTCAAGGTAATTTTTTTCTGACTGTTGATATTACAATTATGCAGATTATTTATGGCGATATATAATTTATAGTTCTTATGTTATATGAAACATGAATTTCTTTTTTTTTTTTTTAGTTACTGAAGAACACTTGAAATCATATAGAAGCTACCATTTTTTTTTTCCCAAAAGCATTTATTTCTTTTCTGAACTGGACCAGCCAGTTCTCTTGACATCACTCAAGCTGACTTGAAATAGAATACTGAAAACAAAACCTCCAGGATTCCATGTGCCAGGATTAAAGGCAAAACAAATAATGCATAGTGCAATCAATATTAGAAGCAAGTGTTTCTCTTGAGACTAGACCAACAGCAGACAGATAGAGTTCAATGTACAGAAATGTAAGCTTATTAAAAGCAGAAGAAACTAAATAATCTGGGGAATACCTGCTAAGTGAAACAATCATTCAGCACATTGATCAAGAAAAAGGCTTAGGGATTATTCTGGAAAAATAAATGTTGAAAACATGATCTCATTGAACTCAGTTTCACTAAAACAGGCAAATTGTATATTAGGTTGTATTAGGAAAATGAGAAGGCAGAAGATCAAGGAAGGTTACTGTGGCCACTTAATTCAAGCTACCAATCTTGCTGAACAGTTTTATTATGTGAAATAGATTTAATAAGGTGGCCAAACAGGTTGTTCAAATCTCCTTCAGTTAGTCTGTCAGTTTAATTTATTTTGTCATCCAAGCTGGGGATTTGTTCTTCCAGTGATTTGTGCTGCAGGAAAGTACATGAGGCTTGTTGCTGTTTTCCACCCATAGCTGTATGAATAAGGATTTCAATGATGTTGTTGATTTTGATTTTAATTATTAAATTGTTCTGCATTTTAATCTGGATGCCAGATTAGGTGTATCCTGAAAGTGCAATTTCAGTGTTTTACCATGAATGGGTCTGGTTAATTGGTCCTACCTGGTCACTTGTGCTTAGTTCCACTTCTGGAAAATCTCTGCAGGATAACAGCTGCAGAGGAAATGGATGTTCCAAGCTGCATTCCTCGTCTGTAAATGTGTAGTGGATAAGAGACACAGAAAAACAACTCATTCTAATTCTGTTATGTAGTTACATTAGATATTTGAAAAATACATGCTTGGTGCATTTCTGCACTTATTTCAGGCTGGCAGCTCTTCCTATATCAGATGTCAAGCATCCCTGTTCTGTCCTTGTCTCTGTTACAACACTATTTGAAATTCTGGGATATGGGTCTAGAAGCACTCAGAAGTGAATAAATGAATATATTATTATTATTATTTTGACACTGGTAGCATCAGTCTTATAAAAAAGGGGAAGCAAGTCAAACAGAGCAATTTTCAAATTGCCAAAGAAAACAAGAAAAAGCACAACACAAAAGCTCCATGAAGTTCCCAAATACAGTGGCTGGGCTGCCCCCCAGCAGAGGATGCTCAGCAAGGCCTTGCATTCCATCTTCATTTAATTGCTGTTGCCAGTGTCAGTCTGCAGAGCAGAACTGGCTTCTGCACCAATTGCAAAACATCACAAATGGGTTTCTGACTCGGGGAGGTTTGTGCAGATGTCGCCGGAGGATGTTCTGTGAAGGAAATTAATTACAGGTATTTAATTTCCCATCTTCCCCTCTCATGAACAGCTTTGTATGATGGCCTTTGCATTGCTGTCATATGGCAGACTCAGTGTTTTCCTGTGGCTTTGCAGCAGCACCTGCTTCTGCATCAGCCATTAGCAAATGGGAAACTCAGCAGACAGGAGAGCTGAGGTATTTTAGCTTTGTAGCATGTTTTTGCATCTTGGATGGAGATGACAATAATCCAGGCAAGATATGGCCTGAGTGAGGAAAAAAAAGCAAATTGGAAAAAGAGATGTTGAGGGAGCAGTGATTGCTGTAGTATTTATGCATGGAAGAAAGTTTTTATCTGTAAATCTTATACCCAGGAAATTCTGAATTATGCAAGAGAAACTTCAACTGTGGGAGCATTGCCTTAGCCCAGATTGAATCCAGAGCTTTCTGAAATCATGTTATGTGCAATGCAGGCCAATATCAAATATGGTTAAAGCTCACTTTGTTCCTTCCATCCTCAAAAAATAACGTTTTTTTTGAGGGGCTGATTCTATTCCAGGCAAATAGTGGCAAAATAATGCAATCAGGGCACTACTGTTGCTTTTGTAACACCAGGAACTGCATTGTCCCTTATAGACAAAGGAGGAAAAATGGTAATATTCCTTCCTTGAGGGTTTGGTTATTGATAAATATGAAGCAGAATACAAGTTACTGAAAGAGGATAAAATGTTGGGGATTTATGTGCAGAGACTGGAGGGCAGCCTGGGGTGAAGAGATGGAAAGAAGAATGTTATCCCTAAGGGGAGCTCAGAGGGATGACTGGAATCAGTTACCCAGAGATTTCTTGCTTTTTTTTGCCCTGACCAAAGGGATGGTGCAGAGACATGTTTTATCCTGGCATGGAGATTAAATATATAATTTTAATAGACACAGCCTCTGACTGCACCGCACCCTTATTTACTTGTGATGTTTTATTCAAAGCCATGTTTTCAGGACTTGCCCTGTTGAATCCCAGTGAGCATGCGTGGGGTGAAGAAAAAGCTTCTGTGTTTTCCATGTTTCACAAGGGAAATTTCACTGTCTTTTTAGATATTGTTTGTAAGACTTGAAAACCTGCAGAGGCTGGGGGAGCATGGAAATAAAGAAGATGGGCTTTGCCCTTTTAAAGTGTATCCAATGTCATTTTTTTTTATATTGAGTCTCAGAAAAAATGGAAATCTCATACTCCATATACCTCCCACTGCTACTAGAATCTGTTTTTCACTGGGCTACATGAGAATGGGGTCATGCCATACTGTGTTTAACAAACTAGGATGCTATTTCAAGAAAATTCTTTCTGACTCCCTCCTAGGATTTGTTTTATGTAGTGATAGATTGAATTGACATGTCCCCATAAATACTGTCTCTTACTGAGACACAAAAGCTGGTCAAAATACTCAAAATTTATTTTCCTTTAGCTCCGAGTTCTACTGCTTATTCCTGAAACTTCACAGTTTTACTTCCAATGTCCAGTGTGGATTCACTTAAGTTTATATGATTTTTTTTCCCCTTGGATGATTTCTATGCATACATCATAACCAACACTTCTAATGTCTGCAGTGCATGGCAAGTATGTGCTTCTTGCAGCAGAATTAGAAGTTATCCTTTAGCATAAAACGTCCATTAGTCCAAGGCAATTGTATAGAACACTCTTTTGGTACCAAGTTATAGCAGGCCCTTGACACTTGTTAGTTGTTAATGTGATTTAGAAGAGTAGTACCATCCATTTTCAAAATAATTCCCAATTTTTTTTTTATTTTTTGTTATGGTAATTCAGTTTTTAAAAAATCCTTGAATGAGCGAGTGCATGTTTTGAGCTCTTTTTGTGTGTGGAAAGAGTTTTAGTTTCTATAGCAGAGCATGGAATGAATAAAAAAGGCAGTGACTTGTTATGTATTATTATATTATATGCAGAGGCTTAGAAGCTATCCTCAACATTATTTGAAACCATGTAATAATGTCATTGTAATGTTTGGTGCTATCAAAGAACTTGGAACAGGAGCAGATTTCCCCTGGGTTTTGTTGGCAGAAGAAAATGGAGAGAGAGA